TAAGAGAAGGTTTTTATGAAAAAAAATTTTGTAAAAACCTTTTTGTTTTTAATTTTTTTTTTTAAACATTTTTTTGATGATTGATTTTTTGTGTTCTGGAATATTTTTTTTCAAATTAAAAAAGCTACAACAAGCTTTAGTTTATAAAATTGTCCATATGACATAATTAATCGTTAAAATAGGGCCCCCGGCCAACACCAAAAAAATGGATCAACATGGAGAGTGATTCAGTGTTTATTACCATATTCCTCCAAAATGGCTTAACCAATTTAATAAAATTTTGTATATACATTTGGTAGGTCTGTGAATAGGTTTTTGTCTATTTTTTATACTCCTAAGTGATATTGTTTCATAAATCGTAGTTTGATTTAATTATTTTTGACCTGGTTGATAACTGCGCAATTGAAAATGAATTATTAAATGATACTATTAAAAACTATTAAAAAAACTATTAAAAACTATTAATTTTATTTTTAGTTTTAAATGACAGGTATTGCATAAATATTAAACAATAAGATCTCGAAACAGGTACCAAAACAAACGAAAATCTTATTTCGAAGGATTATTATGCATATTGGTTGATAATTAGATAAGATCAGGACGATGTTGTGAGCTTTGTCAACAGTTTATGGTTAACATTTATGTAAAGATAGAGAGCGAATGATTACGATACTTGCGATTTAATCAAAAAAAGATGCGTGGGTATGGTTCTCAAAATAATTGTTAGATATCGGTAATGGGAAATTTATTACAGATGAAACGGGATGCATACAATTACCGACCGATTTCTGCACAATCATTGATTTGCAAGATGCTCTCATTGACCAGATATTTCTCAATGTACACAGTACACAAATCATGAGTGGCTAGGAGAAAGAGCAATTTTAGCAGCAAAAAATGTGGAGTCAACGAATTGAATCTCAAGATACAACATTTGTTACCAGGAGACTAGGTGTTATACAAATCTATTGATACAGTTTGCGATGCTACTGAAGCTGTAAATTATCCAACAGAATTTTTAAACTCATTGGATTTACCAGGCATGCTACCGAATAATTTACAAATGAAAGTTGGATCTCCGGTTATTTTACTTCGTAATTCGAACTTACCACGTTTGTGCAACGACACGCGATTAGTCATTGAAAAATAAATGAAAAATGTTATCTAAGCCATTAATTTAAATGGCAAATTCTGAGGTGAAAATATATTATCACCGCGAATCCCTATTATATCCACAGATGTGCCAATACAATTTAAACACCTTCAATTTCCAATTAGATTGGCATTTGCAATGTCTATAAATAAGTCTCAAGGCCAAACGATGTCTGTTTGTGGCTTGAATTTGAGCACATCATGTTTTTCACACGGACAATTATACGTGGTGTGCTCTCGAACCATCCAATTTGTTTGTGTTAACGAAAGATGGGATAGCAAAAAATATTGTACACTCTATTGCATAAAGGGATTGATATTTTTTTTTACTAATATTGTCATAATCAGCGATTTATATAATTTTAAATGATCAATTTTAATAAATTATTAAAAAATAAATGTTTGATGTTTTTTAATTTTTATATTTCGTCACCGTTTACAGCACTTCATACCTCTTCCACTTATATACCACATCCTTACACACTTATATTAAATTAGTTATTTTTTTCTAGCAAAATATTCTCTAGAAATAATTTATATGACAAAACAACGTTTTTCGGGTCAGCTAGTATATTTATAAATATACGGGTAATTCTCACAGGGAACCTGTAAGAGATCGGCTAAAAGTGACAAATGTAATTTAGTGTGGCATGAGTGCAGTACGTGTATATTATTCAAATGTCATACCTGCTTACTGAAATGTATTAAAGTAAATAATATCCTTCTCTCTACCCTTTGAAAATATTGCAATATACATAATACGTTTAGGTGTTGTGTAGTAATGTTGAACCATGTTCAATAGAAACAGTAAATACAAATTTAAACTACAAGGCCATTGAAGTACGGTTGTGTTATGATAAGGTCATAAAAACAGTAACAGAACATTTTTTTTTCCATGCTACAATATTTTCTTCTTGGATTCTACGATAAGTCGTTTGAAATATCAAATAAAAAATCAATAAAATCAATTGAAAATATCAGTGGCATAGCTAGGATTTTCTGAAGGGGGGGTCTTAATTATAATTATTAAATATTATATATAATACGTACAAACTAAAACTTTTATTTTAATTAATTAATATGTATACATAATGTCTGTAATAGAGATGTAATGTATATTCGAATTCGGATAGCTTTACCATAAATTATTCGAATATTTGACTATTCGAATGTCAGTATTCGATGCTACAATACCTATAATTATTAAACGTTTTGTGTTGCACGAAAACGTAAACGAATAATTTTCGTCTCGTATTGTCACACTCGCGATAATGTTAACTTATATATATGTAATTAGTATTGTACATAATTTTATATTTCATATTGTATTATCGATTCACCTATATTCCTATAATAATGTAATATATGATACGACTCAAGGGGGGTGTCATATCTACCAAACACCCCCCTTGTATACGCCACTGGAAAATATCAAAAACAGAAAATTAATAGGAAACCTTTTTTTTTTTTTTTAAAATCTTTCGGATTGAAAGGAATAACAAATAATGTATTAAATTATCATTTAAAAACTATGACAAATTTATGAGTCAGAGGGGGGAGGCGCTTATAACTAATATATATATATATATATATGTATATACAAAGGTAGATTGAACAATACCTTTATGCAATTATAATAACAAAAAGATGCATATGTAACTGAACTGACCGAGATTGAGTAGTGATGGTAGTTTTGAGATTCTGGACGTCGCAGTGAACCGTGCAGATCTACGTCTCGTAACATGTTCACGACGATGTCAACAAATGGCGGATGTGCAGCTGTGGCTACGGGCTCGTGCTCCACACGCAAAATAGGCACTCGTACGGAGACGTATAAACGGTTGGGAATTCCTGCGACCGGTGTCCGCATATGTAGACTAACGCGGAAAAATGATTTTTCCGTGATGGGCTAGGTGTACGAATAAGTTACAGCAGCTGCGACGAGTAATGCACACGCAAGTACAAACGTGTGCCTTGCGAAGTACGACGACGGCTTACGAAAACTTATATATGCTTTCGGCACTAATGAAGACGACATTTTTTTCCCCAGCAGGCAACTATACGACGATTGTTGACGAAGAACACGTACTACCTACGTGCGTATATAAATGGCTGAGTATCGCGTCGATATTACACGGCGATATTGTAAATGGTCGCTCACGTCGAACTACGAAAGAACAGCGGTGTCGGCCGTAAACGGTAGGTGCGTACACGGCGAAAAAATGGCGGTCGTAAACGATGAACACGAATGCTGCGACGAACATTCGATTCCTACGTACTATGGATCACGATTTTCTACCAGCCGTCCACGGTGCGTCTGCCGACGGAGTCGCGAGAGAACGGTTGTAGGAAAAATATACCGAAAATCGCAATTGTCGCACTGAAAATTAAAAAAAAAAAAAAAAAAAAAAAACGAAAACACACACGCACGCTTTTTCGCTCGGTCGGCAATGTCGTGCCGCGTTCGTACGCAATGATCAGTGCCGGTGCTAGGTATTTGGCCGCCCTGTACCAATTTATAAAAATGCCGCCCCATATACATATATTTTTTTCGTTAAAAAAAAATAAATAATAATTCATATAAATTGAGTAAATATATTAGTTTTATGAATACTTAAATAGGTGTTATTGTTTTAACATTTTGGGATGATGTCAATATAAAAATAACTCACATAATTAATATAAGTGGAACCTACTGGTAACCTAACCAATTACCAATTATTGTGCAAACGAGTTATTTTAACAGAACCAAAAAAATATTAAAAATTAAAAACGAAAGTTATCTATAGTCCATTTATTTTATTTAAAATTAAACAAATACGTTTTACATAATTTTATACGAATTCTATTAATGAAACACTTTTCTTGCCTTTGCGTTTGAGAAATCCTTTATAATTTCTTCAATGTCTAACTCTTAACAAAATTGGTGCTCGATAGCTATCATAGCCAGTCCACTAAGATGATTATTTGTCATTGTTGAGCGTAGGTAGGTCTTTATTAGCTTAAGCTTAGAAAAGCTCCTTTCACCACTTGCAACAGTTACGGGTAAAGCTAAAAATATACGCAGAGCAATTGATACATTTGGTGCAAATGATCCAATATTAATTATAAGCTTTAAAAGTTCAATCGGAGACAAGTTAGATTCAACCATTGGTATTATAACTTTGAGTTCATCAGCCATTTCAAGTCCATTAATATCGGCTGAATTACCATCTGTTAAAAATAGTTGAAAATCTTTGCAGTGGTTTAATAGGTTATCGTATGTCATATCTTTTAATTTATTTATGTCATAAAGAAAAGAAAAATAATCGCTATGCTCCTTTATCTGTTCAAATCTATCATTTACACTATTAATGGCAATATAAAATATATTATTAAAGAAGTTAACTTAAAAATTAATTTTTGGATCAATGATAGGTTCATCCACGTTTTCGTAATCAAATTGTCTTTTAACACGACGTGCTTTGATTCTTCCAACCGATTGCTCAAATACAGACACCACATCAATTTCTGATGCCATTTTTGAAGCTTCAAAAACATATTTATCAAATTAATTATCGCAACCAAGTCTTTGCTGTTTCAAATATGATAGTAATGCTTCCAATATTTGTATAGCTGCACTGATATCAAAATTAATTGTTTGCATTAATTTGCTAACAGGATTAATTTGATTAAGTAAATCGTACCAAATAGTGATAGAACAAAGGAACATAAATTGTTTAATATACTTACAAAGACATTCAACTTCATGTCTAGTCATAGAATCCACATTTTTATCTTGCACAATTTCGAATAAAGCATCATATATTTCTCCTATTTGATAACAAAAAGGTTTAAGTGCTTCGATTCTACTTTCCTATCTTGTCTGACTTAATGGCTTTACCGTTAAATTTGTAATATGTCTTAAAAGAATTTGCCAATGGTGTGTAGATGCCGAAAAAAAAAACGTAATCTTTTTGAATAATATCGAAAAACTCAATCGCCTCTTTTGATGACTTAACTGTATCATTTACAACAAGATTTAAAGAATTTGCACAACAAGGAACGAAGAAAGCGCGAGGATTAATATTGCGAATTCTTCGTTGTACACCAGAATGTTTGCCTTTCATATTCGCTCCATTGTCATATCCCTGGCCCCTCATATTTTCAATTTGAATTCCCAAGTCCTTCAACTGCTGTATAATAATATCAGAAAGGCCCATTCCAGTACTAGTTTCTATTGGAATAAAACCGAGAAAATGTTCACAAATTGTAACATTTGACTCTTTTTTTGACGATTCAACAAATACAAAACGAATAATAATGGTCATTTGTTCAACGTGGCTTAAATCAGGAGTACAGTCCAAAATTATACTGAAATATTTCGCTTCCTTAACCATATTAAGTATGCGTGTCTTAATAGCACCGGATATTAAACTTATGATTTCATTTTGTATGTCTTTTCCCAAATAATGAGTTTTATTTTTAGTATTCATTGTTCGTCTAACATGTTCGGACATTATAGGATCATATAACGCCATAAGCTCTATAATTTTTAAAAAATTGCCGTTGTTTTGTTTGTAAAGTTGATCTGATGAACCCCGAAATGCTAAATTTTGTTGACCTAAAAGCTGTATTACTGACACGATTCTCTGTAAAACTGCATTCCAGTATTTTTTTTCCGATTCAAATATGCGTTGATTAGAGTCATCAATCGTTTTTTTATCTTTTAATCTTGAAGAAAATTCTATCCAAGTTTGATGTGCTCTAAGTTGGGAATTTGATGTCTCGTGTTCTTTTAAAATAATAGAAACGTGTCGCCAGTCGTTATATCCATCTGTTCCTAGTTTAGTTTTTGAAATTGAAAACAGTTTACAGAAATAGCAAAAAATAACTTTCTTGGATAAGGAATAGACAAGCCATGTTCTTAGAACATTTTCTTCGTTACTCAGGCAACGTTGATAATTAAAAACTGTAAATCTACGATTATTGTCATCCAAAGGAAATACGAAAGTTTTGAGAATGGGTGAAGGAGGACCTTTTTCAACGATTGTTGTTTTTAACTTATCGCTTAAAAAAAATGGCCAAGTTGCAGGATCAGTGCCTATAATTAACGTTAGTTCTTTAGATTCAGATGAAATTAAATGGTTTGAAGAATCGTTTAATGTGGTTAACGTTTTAGTAAAGGCAATGTCGGTTTCTATCGGATTTTCATCAACTTGGTCAGAAGTTAGAATAACAGAATCTATAACTATTTATGTAGATGTATTTTGAGTATGATAAGTAATTATGTTATTACTCGCAGATATAGATTCATGTAGAACAGTAGACTTTTGGAAAAATTTTTTTAATGATCCTGCTTGTTTTTTTATGTTTGCTTCCTTTTCAGCTTTCCTTTTTTTATATTCACAACCCGAAAGACGTTGCCTGCTATCTGACATATTTATCAAATCCGAATGAACTAAAAAAGGATAATTTTTTTTTTTTTAAAAGTCGTAAAAAAATACAGTGAAATTATATAGACAATTTTCTAATGTTCTTAATTTTTTTAAATACTTAAATATGCGTTATTTAATGTAGCAAAACAATATAAATTTTAATTATACAGTTTCCCTAGACCCTAGGGTTATGAATTATATTTATTAAAATATTAAAATTATAGAAGACACAGCACCTCACTATATCTGCCCTAATTAAAAATAATCTTTAAAATTATAATTATTGTTAAAAAATTGTATTGTATTATGATTCAATGATGATTACAATGATTCAATATCTAATATTTATAAGCAGGTCTAGGATTTTTAAGCAAATGTTTCTTATTTTATGTATGAAATTTTTATACATAAATTCGTTTCACGTCATTCTGATTCCAAATAAACCAATTTATTTTAGCTTTTTTGTTATTTATTATACTTTAAAATCCGAGCCCTACTTATAAGTAATTTATATTTTTAGTGTAATTTCGAATAAGAATAAACAATCTTAACTTACCTCGCAAATCACAATGTAATAACTAATAATTAATTATTGTTCGTTGTCTGTCATTAGGCTGCTGTAAATGTATTACGTGTATGTTAGTCAGTGGTCGAACTACAATTAATGTCGTCTATTACAGTTGTTACATCTTACAGTCGTTGCCCTATGAATTGAGACGGCGGCGGTGCGATAACGAAAAACCAGGGATTCCCGTTCCATCTATATTGGTATATTTCATAATGCCTGGTGCATTATCGATACGTGGTACGCCGCGCGCCGTCACCTAGTCCAAAAGCCGCCGCGACGTCCGTCTAATGTACATTTATGTGTCACAATTATATCGGTTTGTCTCGGGCGGCAGGTGAGCAATACGGTACCTAGGCAATAATTATTAATTACTGATAGCGCACAACACATATTGATGACGTGCTCACATAAAAAATTTTAATTTAATATAATATACAACAGAAAAAATAAATTACCACAAACTTTTAAGCATATTTTTATTTGTATTGTTTGTATTGCATAATTATCTTCTTGCTCATATTGCCGCCCCTGTAATATTCCCGCCCTGTGCGAATGCACTGCCCGCACATGCCTTCCGCCGGCCCTGGCAATAATACCACCGTAGACGGACGATACCAAAACCGCGTTCTGATATTATGCAACGGCGGCAAATATGAATCACCAAACAATGATGGTCGGTGGAAATTAAACGATAGAAGCGGTTGACCAGAAAATATAGACGCGGCCGTCGACAGCCATTGTGATAACGACAGTCAGCGTCAGATTGCGATTTTTTTTTTTTAATATCATAACTGTAATATCAAATTCTTGAACTTATATGTATTCAAAGCGTTCATTAACTAAGCGTTTTTAAACGACGGATTTCAACATAATTAATTGAAAAGAAATTGTACAACCATTATATGATTATTAATAAATAAAAAATAAATCCTTTTGATTTGATCTATTAAGGTTCTCTTAACATATTTTAAAAGATAATGGAAATATTACAAATGGTATTAAATTTGAAATTAAATTACATTATATTGTCAGTTTCAAATAGAATCAAATTGAGTATATAATATGGCATAAAGTTTTTACATTGCTTTAATCGTACAATGCACATTTATTACGTTACATATTATTATTACGGTAGGCAAATGTGGGATATGTACGCTTTTTACGTTAGCATTTAGTGTCGTTCGTATAATAAATTATTTCAAAACTTTAATAGTTTAGAGTTCTAGACTAATACGCTATCTCACATGTGGTCACCTGAAAATGTGCACAAGGTTTTTGTTTTTCGTGCGAACTAAGAGTTCATTTCAGTGTAATTAATTGTAGATCCCAACTGAATAGTGCGTGATTTGTATCAACCAACGTATATTTTAAACATTTGCCTCATTCCTGGGTCCGTTATCAAAATCTACCGGTGGCCTTTCAAAGAATATTAAATCCAAAATTAAGCAGAACCCAAAGCACCGTCACGTACAGTGACCTTTGGTGTCTACGTTAGACGGTGACGCCGTTGTGTCGACTGGCGCGTTGCTTGTAATAAAACGGTTGGATTCGTATGGTCAATTATGGTAATTAACGATCAAGTTGTAAACAATAACGAGCACACTAAAAATATCTCACATTATTTCAATCAATAAGGCGTAACGAATGACTTTGAACTCCCTCAACCGAGAACCCCATCACTGTCAAAAAACGAAATTATTAATTTACGAGTACTAATCGCAATTCATTTAACCGGAACCAATGTGTGCTAACAACAATGATTAAAAGCGATAGTCAATCCAAAATATAATTTCAGGCTCCGCGAAATGTAATCACACATAAGTTAAAGAAGAAAAATCTCACCTATTCCGATTTTCATCACGGAAGTAATCAACCTTTTATTTTTTTTAAGATATGCGTTTCCTCAAATCTAATTGACTCTGATAGATTTCGCTATATATAAATTTCTACTTGATTAATAGTTCATTTTTTCCCTATTAAAAATATTGTAGAAAAACTAATAAATTTTTAAAAGAGTACTTTGTAAAAATAATATACGTTACTGAACCAACTTTGAATCGTATGTTTCTCGAATCGATTTATGATATAGAAGGAAATTAAAAATATAAAAAAAAACAATAGAATTATCAACCTCTATTATTCCAGTGAATAGAATTACGAACTGTTCAATGCAACACCATTTTTTTTTCAGATAAATTCTGCTGTAAAAATCGTATTATAATTAAAATTACAATTACAATTATTATAATTATTATAATTACTGGTCGACAAAAAACAATGCTCTTGACAAACGTCTTTATTTTATATATGCCTATCAAAAATCATAATATAAAACATTTTAAAGAATATATTTTTATTCTGTGATTTAAGTATGTAAATTTTATAAATATTACTTAATATTGTATTGTGTAAAAGTGCAAGGAAAATAAAAATAAAAATAAAAAATTTAAAGCTTCTATTCTAGTGAACTGACATTTTAAATCAAACTAAACTGTACCATACTCACTATATATTATTATTTTATTTTATTTATTTATTTATTTTTTATAGAACAAAAAAACATATTCGTATTTTATAAATCCATATTATATTAGTACCCTATATGAATAATCGAATATTGTGTATAATATATAAATATTTTGTTTCAGGCTTGGCTTAAACCAGTGGGCTTTCAATAACTGTGAGTATTCTCAATTTTTATATTTATTTTAAATTTATATCAAAATCCCTCGACTTAAATAACTTATGGTGATTCTATACATCATATTTATAAAAACTTATCAATCATAACTTTTGCAATGTGTGTGAGCTTTAGGAATCATTTATAAAAACACAAAAGAAAAAAAACTTTATAAAAACCAATATTTTGAATGATTCGTATCATAAATTGATGTTTTATAATTATATAATGAACGTAATTAAATCAGAAGACCGTAAATCACCATAGGAACTTAGTTTAATTTGTGACATTTTCAAGCACCGTGTAATCATAAACTATAAAAAAAAAATACTATTATTTAATTACTGAAACATATAGTAAGTTAACTGTAGTTCGAGCAACTGTGAACTTAAATATCAATTCGCAAGTTTCAATATTAAACACTGGTGTTTATTTTAAAACTTAAACAGCATTTGTCGATTAAATCAACGGCTCCATACGTATGTTTTACATGCAAATAATATTAATGGTAACAAACGATTTTGATTTTGCGATGGAACTTTTGCAACTTGGTATTCTCCAACTCAATTAGTACAGGTAAAGAGAGATACTGTTGCGGTTATTTTAGGTTTACACTTGGGAACATTTAAAGTATGATGTATGTTATGATGCCTTCACATTAGAATATGATTCAATATGCAATGTGAGAAAAATAGAAAAGAGAGAAAGATCGTGTGTGTGAATGCAAAAGAGGTATCGTGAGAGAGAATGAGATGACGGTGACCTGGGAATGATTTATGCGTATAACCTATGCAAAATAGTGCGCACCGAAAACTCCAATATTTAAATGTAACTTGTGATGAAAATAATTATCAACTTTACATGTTAAAATAAAAACATGAATATAATATTTTTCATACGTATGTGTTCATAATTTATGAACAAATCTAGGTAAGTTTTCGTCAATAACAGTTAAAACATTTTGTGTTTTTTGTACGAAATTAATATGTGATCCAATTTTCACAATTGTACATTGTTACTAACACCAGTTATTTGTGAAATTGTCTATCGTTTGTCATGGTTGTTTGTTAAAATCCATCATTTAAATACAAATAAATTCTTAGAATTCGTTTGAATATAAAATAATTAAGAAATAAAAATTTAAAAAAAAATTCTAATATATAAATAAATAAATGTGTATTATATATATATATATATATTTTTTTTTAAATATTTCAGTCTTGGCGTACATATGTTTTATTCGTTTTGATTTTATTCGCGTATTGAACAACAACTTGAAGGACTCGATTGTTACATTGTATTTGATTGTCCGATTGTAATATGACGAAAATAAATTAATGCACGTTTACAACCCCAATAAAAGTATTTGACAAATGATTTATTTATAAACGCCCACATAATCGGCATTGAATCAGCAGTTTGTTTTCCCTGTTCTCGTGGTCCGAAAAAAACATATTATTAAGTTATACGAAATGTTAAATAACAATATTGATATTATTGAGGCGTAGTGTACGCCTCTATATACGTCACGAACTTTTAAAGGTTTTCGTGGGAATCGTTGTATTTTTCTCAAACAGTCATAGGTATGTTAAAACGTCGACTCGGCTTCAAAATGTAACAAACTAAAGTAATTTCGAATATAAATTTATATGTGTGCGTGTGTGTGTTTTTAATATATTTTCCGTATCTTTATATTCGATTTAGAACGCAAGGAAATCATTTTTTACATTATTCGAATGGAAAAAGTATTAAGCAAATGTCTGTTTCGACGTGTTTAAGGTCCGAGGGGAAATAAGTACCTCATTCAGTATTAGCTATGTATGTATATGAATTGTGCTCTTCAAATCTTAAAAACTTTTTTGACTTAATTTCGTCTAAGTCGGCTCGTTATTAGTTTGTCCGTCTGTCGATTTCCGTCACCTCGGCGAGCATGGGAAAGGGATTGTATGCCAGCGATATTTATGCGTAATGTTTGCACTGCTAACGGGGAAAATCTCAGGCAACATAACCATACCACAAGTTAAAAGTTATTAAGTTAGAAACCCTGCGAGTGTGTCTGCGTGTTTGTACGCGCACACTAAACTAGATTTATGTTTCCTCTTTAAGCTTCCTAATGGTTCTATTGATTGTCTTGTTGTAATGAATTCTCTGTAGCAAGCGCAATTGAAATATTTATTTTATTTAATGCCGGCCGTAACCACCGATATGTGGAAGACTAGCCTTTAAATTTGACTTGAAAAAGTCAATGGTAAAATGACCAATTTATTACTACGGAAAACAACACCATTGGTTTAATTTTCAGGGGTTAATTTTATAAATATTTTACGCTGGCCATATTATTAATATTATTATTATTATTATTTTTTTTAACAAATTACTGCTATGGGCGAACAAAGTATTCGGACAGTCGGGTTTTTTCTCCTTTCTTTTATTCAAGTACAAACTACTAAATTATGTAGCGATATAAATCCTGATCATTTTTCGATATAGGTTTTTTTTTTCAAAATCGACTTATTCTATATGTATACTATTGTAGTGTGAACCCATAGGCGTACGCACGAGGGATATCAGGTGTGCCTGGATACCCCTCAAAAGTCATAAGTTGGGCCCTAAACTTTAAATCTAAGAGTAAGGAGCCTGTATTTTAATTGATGTTGCTCAAATTAGATGCAATTTATTCTTAACTACTTGATAAAAATAAATGACGTTTCGAGATAGAAAAAATAAAATAAAATGTTATAAATGTTTGTGTAAAAACTTATTTTGATAATATAACAGCTACAATTGACTACAAAAGTACTAATCATAAATAATTAAAACTATCTAAGAAAAATATACGAGATTCAAGGAAAATATATGGTCATTGGGATTAATATACCACAATATTAAATTAAAAATTAAAGTTATGTTTATTTAATGATTTATACAATATAATTTATTAAGATATAACCCAAAAGTATTGTAGGCACCTCCTGATATATAGGTCTGCGCACGCTTATGTGTGAATTTTGTTCAGATACTTCGTTATCATTGATATTTATTTTCTCATCAATATAATATATTTATTCGACACTTGTCTCGTTTGCATACATACGCATTTTGAATAAAAAATAATACCTACACGTTATAATATTCCAACCTAGGCTATGCAGTTGAACGTAAACATGCATACATAATACCTAAATACTAGAAGTAAAAGTAAAATATTTGTACAAATACATGATTCGTGTGTGCACTGTTTCCAAATTTTAAAATTTCATCTGCATAACTTGTATAATATACAATATTCATCGAGATATTTGTTTGGCCAGGGGTATGAAATAATATTATGCATGCTCGGAAAGCTTTTGCTTCCTACGCACTACCTAATACGCTAAATACCGATACCGAATCAGTCGGTAACATGGTGTGTAAAGGGTACAGCACTCAACTGGAAGTAGACAGGTTTGTCGAGCAAGTCTTGCGAGAGCGGTTCTATGGTGGTGGGAACATGTATGTGTGTTTAAGATTAAGGAGAGGTAACTAAACTAATGTAAAAAATGGTTATAAATTGGTAGAATGTGGTGAACAAATAACAATAAATGGAAATATAGCAGCCCTTTTGAGCCAACAGCAATATAAATAACAATAAGTGAATAAAACACTAACAGGTTATCGGTGCGTGGTCTGGGCAGCTGCAACTAGTCAATCTAGTCTAAATAATTAAAAAAATGTAATTTATAAATTCACAAATTGCCGCCGTGTGTGTACGGTCTGAATAAATCTATATCTTTAAATGGTATTATATAAAACAAAGTCGTCTCTCGTTTGTCCCTATGTATGCTTAGATCTTTAAAACTACTCAACGGATTTTGACGTGGGTTTTTTTTTTAATTGATAAAGTGATTCGTGAGGAAGGTTTTTTTGTAAAAAAAGAAAAAGAACAGACTGAAGACTGTATTATTGTACTATGTGTGCGGTGTGTTATCATGACAATAAGATTAGATTATTATTATTATTTACTGAATTGAGTAAATAGTACTTACTTTATACAGAAATTATTAATTCATTTTTGGAAGATGTCGTTGTTTGAGCATGTTCGTAGTACAATGAATGCCAAAATAGCACGTTTTGCAAGAGATGAAGAATCGTCAACGGAACGTGAGGCTCGCTTTAGCCAGGATAGGAATAGACATCGAATACAGAGAACCAAAAAATCGTCCACACTGACATATAGTTACATCGAACAAAACGGACAATCTAACCGAGAGAGTAACTAATTCATAAGTAAATAAAGAAAATTCTGCCATGAATTACGATCTTTCGATTCCTTACAAGGACGATTGTATAGTACCAATAGGTACCATTTCAATAATGTGTAAACATTACTCGGAATTGAAATTCAATGAAGAATCGAATGGCATGTGTTGCTTGCAAGGAAAAGTAAAATTAGAATATATTTTTTCTCCACCTGAACCACTTCACTCTCTCCTTACGGGTGATCATTCCATTCGAAATCTAAATAATTCATGCACAATATACACCGTTGTAATAACACATTTCAAATGACCTCTTTCAAGAGTAAGCAATTCGTCAATTGTGGTATTATGCCAAAATTTAAAATTTAAAGGCAAGTGTACTTAGCTGGGAGCTTACTACCACATCGACCGGTTTATCACAAATTTCTACAGATTTATTTTATTGCAGATCCAGATAATCGGAGCCAAGGCTGATCGCTAGTATAAAATAATTATAGACGGCGGTTCGTGCCCACTACTTATAACAATTATATGAAAAAAAAAAGAAAACGGTGCACCCGTCACACAATGTAACAGGCGTAACTAGTATGACGTACGGACGTATTCACGTACGGCAATTGAACATAGACAGCGAGACAGAAAATAAAAATACAGATTATAATAATATATAGGTATTTAAACGATTCAATATATAATTCACGAACGACAATAACATTAATTTTTATCTAGCGGTGCTATGTAATGCTGTGACCGACCGGTGGT